TTCAAACAGAATAAGGGAATCCTGAATGGTTTAAAATTAAGAAAGGTTGTGCCTTTCATCAGGGTTGTATCTTTCATCATACTTGTTCAATTTGTATGCTAAGCAAATAATCTAAGAATCTGGACTATATGCAAATGATACAGCCTTGCTTGTTGAAAGTGAAGAGGACTTCTATATCATTGGAGATGAGATTGAAGTTGCCAAAGACTTCATTTACTCTAATCAATCATCTACACTCATGGAAGCACAAGTGAAGAAATCAAACGACATATTGCATTGGGTAAATATGCTGCACAAGACCTCTTTAAATTGGTGAAGAGCAAAATGTCATTTTGAGGAATAAGGTTCACCTGACGCAAGCCATGGTATTTTCAATAACCATATACACTCACAAAAGTTGGACATTGAATAAAGAAAACCATAGAAGAATTGATGCATTTAAGCTACGGTGTTGTAGGAGAATATTAAAAGTAGCATGGACTGCCAAGACCCCCAACAAGAGGATTGGCACAGTGATGAAAACAATGGGCTCAAATGTAGCAATGACTATGAAATCAGCACAGGATCAGGCAGTGTTTCGTTCTGTTATGCATAGGGTTACTATGAGTTGGTACCAACTTAATGACATTTAACAACAACAACAAATAAAATCACACTAGTACTTAAGCTTCAACTAACATGCATAAAACCAAAATGCAATAGCCCCATTTATATCTTATATTTTATAAGGGAAGGAAGAGATTGAAAACAAAATGCTTGAGGTGTTATGGGGCTGAGAGGCCAAGGACTCAGTTAGCAAATCCAAAGAGCCAAGGAGCATGGAAAGCAGAGCTGCCTGTCTCAAAGAGTGGTGGTTTCAAAGGGTGGAACCATAGCGTCTGAGGTTTGAAAGGATTGGGCTGTAGTATCCCAGGTTTCAAACCTTCAGATCTTCACAACTCAGTTCTAGAGTGTGGGGCTGGCATTCACAAGTGCTAGGGGGATGGTGCTGAATCTGTTGCCCAAAGCTGATGGGGCATGCTGCCGTGCTCAAATGACAGAAGAATGGAAACTGTTAGGGACAAAAGAGTGGGATCACCAATCAGTTGCTATGGAAGAATAGGGCCATCCAAAGCTAAGGGAACAGAATTACCATTGAGAGGACCTGGAAGGCAAAGCTGAAGCCCATGGCTGAGGACTTCCATCCAGAATCCAAAGAGCTTTGCCTGGAAGATGGGACCACCACTTCCTAGATGTTCTAAGAGAATAGTGGATTATTTTAAAGCTTTGAGGACTAAATTAAACTTTTTGCTGGATTTGGGCCTTGCTTGATATCTATTAATCCTTTTCTTACCTCTAATTTCTCCTATTTGTAATGGGCATATCCACCTTTTACCTGTTCCATCATTGTACTATAGAAAAAAGTAACATGTTATCTAGATTTCACTGGTTTACATATGAAGAGGAATTTTGTCTAAAATATTACCCACATTTCATTTAGATGATTCAGAAGATGAACTTTTTGTCTTTGAGTCAATTTAAGAATCCTGGAATGATGATTGGGTAAATGTGTTTTACATGTGATAAGATAATGAATTTGAGGGGTGGGGAAATCAATGAGTAGAATGTCATGGATTAAATTGTATCCACACAAAAATATGGGTCAATTTAGTGAACCCATTAGTCTAAGTTTTGTGTTGTTGTTCTCCATTTTGTGATCTGATGAGACTATTCTCCATTTGGGGAGGCATTCGAAATCCTTACCTCTATGATGTTAATGGAAGTCTTGGTGTAGCACTGCGCATTAATGCGCTGGACTGAAAAGTCAGTTTGAACCACAAGGTTGGTGGTACTGTAGGATAAAGTATTGGATCACAAGATCAGTTTGAACCACAATGTTGTTGGTTCAAACTCACCAGTCGCTCTTCAGAAACCCTATACAGGGTCACTATAAGTTGAAACGGACTAAATAGCACTTAGCAACAAAAACAAAATGATGTAATGAGACAGGATTTCAGGAAGTTATGTCAATGAAGCAGGACGCATTGACAGTATGAAGTTGTATCCTGAGTCAATTTCTTTCAAGATATAACACAGAGTAAAAAAGTGACCAGAGAAGGAGGGGCTCCAATACTACCAGAAAAGTAGAACTGGGAGCACAGCATGTCCCTATTCTGAGGACATCCTGTCATTCTTGTTGTTGTTAGTTCCAAGTATTGTCAAGTCAATTCCAACTCATAGCAACTTTATGCACAACAGAATAAAACATTGCCCAGGCCTACACCACCCTCATAATCGTTGTTAAGCTTGAGCTCATTGCTGATGCCACTTATCAAACCATTCCTGCAGTATCCCTTTTTTCTGTTTGCAACACTGTCTCGTCGTCTATATACATACAGATTCCTCATGAACAAAATTAAGTGTTCTGGAATACTCATTCTCCACAAAAATTATCCATAGCTTGCCATGATCCACACAATCAAAAAGCCTTTGAGCAGTCAGTAAAGCACAGGTAAACACCTTTCTGGTATTTTCTGCTTTCAGTCAAGATCCAACTGACAACAGTAATGGTACTTCTTGTTCCATGTCCTGGCCTAAATCCATCTTGAACCTCTGGAAGTTCCATGTCAATGTACTGTTGCAGCTATTTTTGAATTTTCTTTAGCAAAAATTTACTTGCGTGATATTGTCCAATGATTTCTACATTCCATTGGGTCATCTCTCTTTGGAATGGGCACAAATGTAGATCTCTTCCAATCAGTTGTCCAGGTAGTTGTCTTTCAAATATCTTGGCATAGATGAGTAAGTGCTTCCAGTGCTCCAGTTTGTTGAAAGATTTCAGTTTGTATTTCATCAGTTCCCAGAGTCTTGTTCTTTGTCAATGCCTTCAGTGCATCTTGAACTTCTTCTGTCAATAACATTGTCTGTTGATCATGTACTATCTCTTGAAATGATTGATCATCCATTTATCTTTGGTACAGTGACTCTGTACATCATCTTTTGATGCTTTCTGAAATTCTGAAATATTCATTCAATATTTCAAGTCAAGGCATGACTTTTTTCTTCAGGTCTTTCAGCTTGAGAAATGCTGACCATGTTCTTTCCTTTTGGTTTTCTAACTCTAGGTCTTTGCACATTTCATTATAATATTTGACTTTGTCTTCTCGAGCTGCCCTTTAAAATTTTCTATTCAGCTCCTTCCTCATTTCTTCCATTTGCCTTACCATCTCAACAATAGAGAGCAAGTTTCAGAGTCTTTTCTGGCATCTATTTTTTTTTTTTTTCTTTTCTTTTCCTTCTTTCTTATCTTAGTGACCTGTTTTCTTTCTTCCTATATGATGTTCTTGATGTCATCCCACAACTCCCCTGTTCTTTTGTCATTAGTGTCTAATGCATCATATCTCTTATTGAGATGTTTTCTAAATTCAAGAGGGATATGTTAAAGGTCAAATTTGAGCTCTCATGGACTTGTTTTAATTTTCTTCTTCTTCAGCCTGAACTTGCATATGAACAATTAATGGTCTCTTTCAGTCTGCCCCTGGCATTGTCTTTTCCATTGTCTCTTTCTAAAGATACCATTAACTTATTTCTGTGTATCCCATATAGTAAAGTCCATGTGTATAGTTATCTGAATATTTAGCCTCTGAAAACCTTACAAATAACAGTGAAACATGATCAGGTAGCATCAGAATATTGAATATTGAAACATGATGAAAAGCACCAGAATATTTTAAGATATAGTGCCAGAAAATGATCCCTTCAAGTTGTAAGTCATTCAAAATACAACTGGGAGAAAACTGCCTCTTCAATGTAAACTTGACGACAATGACACAAATGGAGTAGAACTTTTGGGACCTTCATTTGTTGATGGGGCATAAATCAAAATAGGGAGAAACATCTGTAAGCATCCATTAATAATTAGAACATGGAATGTATGAAGTATGAATTTAGCAAAATTGTAAATATTCCAAAATGAAATAGAACAAGTAAAGATTGATATCCTAGGCATTAGTGAGCTGAAGTGAAATGGTATTGGCTAAATTGAATCTGACAATCTTATGGCTTCCTATGCCATGAATGACAAATTGAAGAAGAATGGTGTTGCATTCATAATCAAATAGAATTTTTCAAGACTATATTGAAGTATAATGCTGTCTGTGATAGTGTAATATTCATACACCTGCAAGGAAGACCAGTGAATATCACTATTATGATGAAGTTGAAGAATTCTATCAACTTCTTTAGTCTGAAATTGATAAAGCATGCAATCAAAATGTATTGATAATTACTTGTGATTGGAATGTAAATGTTGGAAACAAAGAGGAAGGGTGAGTAATTGGAAAATATGGTCTTGATGGTAGAAACAATGCTGGAGATCACATATTAGAATTTTGCAAGATCAATGAGAACATCCTAGTCCCAGGAAAAGATTTATCTCAAGACACGTTTCTATGTCAGACTCATTGATGTTAAAAGGAGACAAAGACATTGTCCTAGAGCCAGCAGGAAGAGAAAACCTTCCCCTATAGCTAGCATCATAAATATGGAATTCTAGACTTCAAAACCATGAGAGAATAAATTTTTGTTTGCTAAAACTAAATACCTGTGCTGTTTCTGTAGTAACTGCAGTAGGTAACTATGACCAGTTGTAATACATACTGAAGACTGTAGTCTTTTATTTTTATCAGTAAATGCTTCAAATCCTCTTCACTTTCATCAAGGAAGGTTGTATCATCTGCATATCACAGATTGTTAATGAATCTTCATCCAAATCTGATGCTGCAAGCTTCTTCATATAATCCAGCTTCTCAGATTATTTGCTCAACGTAGAGACTGCATAAATATGGTGAAAGAATACAAACCTGACACACACCTTTCCTGATTTTAAGCCATTCAGTATCCCCTTATTCTGTTTGAATGACTACCCTTTGGTCTATTTATAGGTTTTACATGAGCACAATTAAGTGTTCTGGAATTCCCATTCTTCAAAAAGCTATCCAATTTTCCCACTGGCGGAGTGCTGGGGAGCGGCAGCGAAGACTGCAGTGATAGAAACAGCAGTTTATCTGTGTGCAGCACCAAACTGGGAAGAAGATGCTAATTAAAGTGAAGACACTGACAGGAAAGGAGATTGAAATTGACATTGAACCCACAGACAAGGTGGAGCGAATCAAGGAGCGTGTGGAGGAGAAAAAGGGAATTCCCCCACAGCAACAGCGACTCATCTACAGTGGCAAACATATGAATGATGAGAAGACAGCTGCTGATTACAAGATTCTGGGCAGTTCAGTCTTCCACCTGGTATTGGCTCTGAGAGGAGGAGG